GGGAGGGGGGGAAAGGAGGTGAGGGGGAAAGAAGAGAGGGGAGGAGTAGGGGTAGGAGGATTGGCAGTGGGGACGAGGAAGAGGGAAGGAATGGATAGAAAGAAGGGAAAGCAGAGAGAGAGAGAGAGAGAGAGAGAGAGAGAGAGAGAGAGAGAGAGAGAGAGAGAGAGAGAGAGAGAGAGAGAGAGAGAAGAAGAAGGGGGAGGAGGAGGATGGAGAAAGAACGATAGCATGGTGGAAAGACGAGGGAAGACGTAGAAATGAATTGAGAGGGAGAGGGGAGAAACGGAGAGTGAGAAGAATAAAGAAAATTATAGTGAGAGTGAGGAAAGGAGAGCGAGAGAAGAGAGACCAATGGTGATAAAGAGAGAGTGAGGACAAGGAAGAAAGGAGAGGGGGGAACTGCCAGAGAGAGAGAAAGAAAATGAAAACGAGAAAGAGAGAATGAAAGAAAGAAAGAAAGAAAAGGAAAAAAGAAAGGAAGAGAGAGAGAGAGAGAGAGAGAGAGAGAGAGAGAGAGAGAGAGAGAGAGAGAGAGAGAGAGAGAGAGAGAGAGAGAGAGAGAAGGGGAGTTTTTCATCCCCACAGACACGCTACTTTTTTCCCCCTCGCCGGCCCGGTTACCTCGCTGTGCTACTGTCGGCGATGGAATGCGGGCGAACTTGCCAGCGTTTGGAAGCGGCGGCATTTATTTTCGCATTTATTTTGTCGTTTGAGCGAAAGTGTTTTTTTTTGTCCTGTTTATTTGTTTATTTTTTCGGGGCCTTTTCTTTTTTTATGAGAAGGAGAAGGAAATGTTTAGATTTGGTATGTATTTATTTTTGGTACTTATTTTTGTTGTTATTTTTCTTTCTTTTCTTTCTTTTCTTTCTTTTCTTTCTTTTCTTTCATTTCTTTTCTCTCCCTGGTGTTTTTTTTTTCTGTTAATTGAAGTGCAGAGATAGAGTATAGAATAAGTATATATATAAAGGATCTAATCAAAAGAAAATCAATAGGAAATTGAGATTGTTCTGCATACCGGTGTTGAAAGGCTAAAGGGGGGAGGGGGAAGTGTTGAGATGGTGCAGGGTGGGATGGGCGGGGAAGGGGGAAGGGGGTGGGGGTATGGGTATGGGTGTACGGGCAGCAGGTTAGAAGGTGTATGGTAATTGAACACATTCCGCCGAGGATTCTTCTGCTGAATTGAATTGGTCTGTTGCCAAAAATAAATAGATAAATAAATCAAGATAAAATAAGATAAAATAACAGATGTGATGTGTTTTTTTCAATGTTTTCTTACGTGTGGAAAATATAAAGATATAGTAAGCTTTTTTTCAAAAATGTAAATATAAGAATATTGCAGAACGTAAACATCTGAATAAACAAAAGAAAACAAGAACAGTGAGATTTATTGCTATCATTACCCAGGGCTGTTTGTCTGTCGTGAAAAGCCCACTTTACAAAGAAAAAGTTAGAACAGTAAAGATTTTTTAAAAAGTAATAATAATGGGTTTGGAAAGTCGTTCAGCTGATTCCCTAGATCAGCTGACTTCGGGACTGGAATGCGTTGAGGAAGGGAACAGTGGAGTGGAGAGTAAGGAGAGGGGAGTGGAAGGGAAGAGTGGAGTGGGGAGTAGGGAGAGGTGGAGGAAGGGAAGAGTGGAGTGGAGAGTAAGGAGAGGGGAGTGGAAGGGAAGAGTGGAGTGGAGAGTAAGGAGAGGGGAGTGGAAGGGAAGAGTGGAGTGGAGAGTAAGGAGAGGGGAGTGGAAGGGAAGAGTGGAGTGGGGAGTAGGGAGAGGTGGAGGAAGGGAAGAGTGGAGTGGGGAGTAGGGAGAGGTGGAGGAAGGGAAGAGTGGAGTGGGGAGTAGGGAGAGGTGGAGTAAGGGGAGAGAAGAGTGGGGAGTAGGGAGAGGTGGAGGAAGGGAAGAGTGGAGTGGAGAGTAAGGAGAGGGGAGTGGAAGGGAAGAGTGGAGTGGAGAGTAAGGAGAGGGGAGTGGAAGGGAAGAGTGGAGTGGGGAGTAGGGAGAGGTGGAGGAAGGGAAGAGTGGAGTGGAGAGTAAGGAGAGGGGAGTGGAAGGGAAGAGTGGAGTGGAGAGTAAGGAGAGGGGAGTGGAAGGGAAGAGTGGAGTGGAGAGTAAGGAGAGGGGAGTGGAAGGGAAGAGTGGAGTGGGGAGTAGGGAGAGGTGGAGGAAGGGAAGAGAGGAGTGAGGAGTAGGGAGAGGTGGAGGAAGGGAAGAGAGGAGTGAGGAGTAGGGAGAGGTGGAGGAAGGGAAGAGAGGAGTGAGGAGTAGGGAGAGGTGGAGGGAGGGGAGAGAAGAGTGGAAAGTAAAGAAAGAGGAGTGAATGAGGGGAATGGAAGGGGAGGGAGTGAGTGAGAGGAGTAGGGAGAGGTGGAGGAAGGGAAGAGAGGAGTGAGGAGTAGGGAGAGGTGGAGGAAGGGAAGAGTGGAGTGAGGAGTAGGGAGAGGTGGAGGAAGGGAAGAGTGGAGTGGAGAGTAAGGAGAGGGGAGTGGAAGGGAAGAGTGGAGTGGAGAGTAAGGAGAGGGGAGTGGAAGGGAAGAGTGGAGTGGGGAGTAGGGAGAGGTGGAGTAAGGGGAGAGAAGAGTGGGGAGTAGGGAGGTGGGAGAGGGGAGATGAGGGCATTGATGCTGGCGAGCAAGATGCATCATGCCCTCACCCACACTTGGTAAACATCCGGAGCTATAGCTTATACTGGGCATTGTTTTCAGAATTATCAAGTGGTAACTGATGTTGCGAAGAACAGAAGTGGTAGAGGGAGGAGGGGGGGAAGGGGGGCATGCGAATAATTAATATATTAGAAATGGTAAATATATAATTCATATTGATAACAATGATGATGGTAAAAATATTGGGAACAGATTTGAATTATTTCGTGTACATTGACTTCATTCATCTTTCACTATAATTCGTCGACCTTTATAAACCACTTGATCACATTTCAACATTTTCTCGTTCGAACCGTAACATATAAGTGATTTCAGGGGTCGACTTTCTTTTATGTAGGCCTACCTTCCTTTTCCCATTATTCATTTTTCGAATACCTCCCCTTGCCCCGAGGGATGAGGAGGATGGGGGGGGGGTAGGTGAGGTGAGAACGGGGGTGGGGGAGGCGAGGATAGGAGGAGGGGAGGGGGGGTGAGGCGACTTTCTCACGACGCCTGATTAATGAAGAATAAACAGCGCGTTGAGATTTTTTTTTTTTTTTTTATCCCCTCATCACTCGGCGTCGCTTCCGGCCCAGAAGTCGCTAGCCCGCCCTCGAGATGTTGACACGGGCGGAGGCGAAGGCGAAGGCGATGGCGGAGGCGGAAGTGGAGGATTTGGAGAGCTCCCTCGCCTCGCCCGCCCTCGGGGTCTGGTGCTCGTGGAGTTTGTTGTGGCAAAGGGAGGGGAAAAAGGCAGGATGAATAACTCCTCCTTGATGGTGTGAATAATTTTGGATGAATGGCTCTTCGCTGGTGATGCATAAGTTCGACAGGTTAGGAAAGGCAGGATGAATAACTCGTCGCTGATAGTAAATTCGAGAGTGTGGGAAAGGTAGAATTAATATTTTTTTACTAATGATGAATAAATTATAGTTTAGGAGAGGTCGAATGAATAACGTCTTACTAATGATGAATGAATTCTACACTTTAGGGAGAGGTAGAATGAATAACTTCTTACTAATAGTGAATAAGTTTTACGTGTAAGGAAAGGCAGAATGAATAACTACGACAGTGCACGGTAAGTAGAATTATTAACAATGTCGATGAATAACTTAACGTGTTTGTATTGCATCTCCGTGAGAATTACGTGATTCTGTTGAGAATGTGAACGCTTTTCATTATGGAATTATGCACTCTCGCCTTTCCTACGTGTCATGTTTAATTTGTTTTATTTCTTAAAATAGCTCACTCGGCTCGGTACCATTTTCATTTCTGTTGATGTTGTTATTGTTGTTGTTGTCGATGTTGTATTTGTTTTTTGTTTTCGTATATGTATATCAGGTGCTTGTTTATGACTTGTTTTTTTTTTCAGAAAATGGATTGAGAGAAAGTTCGAGAAAAAGAGGCCGGGAAATGGGTGTGAATTATGAGAAAAACAGATGTCAGCGGGTCTGGTAAATGTGCGTGTGTGTGTGCGTGTGTGTGTCTGTGTGCGTGTGTGTGTGTGTGTGTGTGTGTGAGAATGTGTGTGTCTGTGTCCGTACATGTGTGTGCGCGACCGCGTGAGAGAGAGAGAGAGAGAGAGAGAGAGAGAGAGAGAGAGAGAGAGAGAGAGAGAGAGAGAGAGACAGATAGACAGACAGAGGGTGAGTGAGTGAGTGAGTGAGTGAGTGAGTGGTGCATGTCTTTCATCTTTACGTAAGCAGTCCAATAGAGTGCTCGCGGCGGAGAGAGAGAGAGAGCCGGAGAGAATGACACTTGTCGCAACAGTTTAACGAGAGTAATCGAGGCATTGTGGCGGGAGGTCGAGGCGGGTATATCGTGTGTTCGGATTAATGACACTGTGGGTCGTGGCGCGGCGGGGGGCTGGTGGATAATGGGCAGAGAGGAAAGGAAGGGCGGAGAGGAATAGGAGAGGGGGATGGAATAGGAGGAATGAAAGAGGGAAGAGGGGGATGGAATAAGAGGAATGGAGAGTGGTAAGGAGCGAGGAAGAAGAGGTAATGGAGCTGAGGAAGCGGAAGGAAGGAGAGAAGAGGAAAAATGTGGAGCAAGGAGGGACGATGAGCTAAGAAGAAAATTACACGCGCCTGAAGGAGACTACACGAGGAATGAAGGATGTAAGAAGCAGCGGATACTAGAGACAAAGAGGAAGAAGGGAGGCGGAGAGAAGAAAGGAAAGCAGAGGTGTTGCGGAAGGAAAAGGTGAATGAGGGAGGGAAGGAGGGAGAGGACGGTGGGACAAGAGATGGTTTGTATGTTGGCCAGCCGCCTGAGCGGGGTAGGTATGTAGCGAGGTTCGCGCACGCACGTACGTACACACGCACTCGGCGGGGCCACCAAGCCAGCGAGCAGCAGCAGCACAGCCAGCAGCTCCACCACGTCGGGACTCGCAGCACCAGTACGCTCCCGACGCCCCAGCCACTTGTTACTCGCTTCGGCCGCACCTGCACCGCTTGCGGCAGCCGCTGAGGTGCTCCTCGGTGCTTCGAGGGCGACGTTGTGTGCTGTGGAGGTGCTTGCGTCTGCTCGTGCTTTGCGATCGTAGCGTGAGGCTTGATAACGAGTGTCTAGATCGGCGTTGTGGTTCTCGGCGCCTCGCTTTTGGGTGCTGTGTGTGTGCGGCGCGAGGGGGGCGGCGACGGAGTGTTTGTGTTTTTGTGCGCCGAAGGGAAGCTACGCTGTTCGGGACGAGAGCTTTGTCTCGGTTTATTTCGAGATCGGGCGTGCGTGTGCGAGCAGGAACGAAGCTCAGGCGGGGAAGCGAGAGTGAGCTTTGTGGTGCAGCGTGTGCTCGGGAGATGAATTCGTGTGGTGATAGTGATGCCTCTGTCCTTTAACAAGGCGAATGTGTTGTGCTATCGTAGAGGAGAATTGGACAGGCAGGTAAGGACAGACCGACGGAGAACCACCATCAAAAGGGTGATCCCAAGGTACTGGAAGAGTTGCCAGCTTGTCAATTAAGCCGCGGTCCAGGCCCCCTCCGGCCGCGAGCAAACAGAATCATCAGTCAAAGTGGGCTCGCGGGATAGAAAACGCGCTTGACACCCTTCCATTAGCGTGGCATGAGATGCGAAGTGCGAGGGTATGACAGATGTAAATCCGCAGGTACTTCGACCGCGCCGGCACCGCGCGTGATCTGAATGGAAATATTAAATCCCCGAAGCTGAACGCGAGCGTCGTGGCAACCTAGAGTGGCCGTGCGCGGGTGGGAGATGATTACCCTCGTTGTTTACACCTGTAGCTAGTCACCTGGTGTGCGCTGGCCCCCGGTGCGCTGGGGGAAAGGGGAGGAAGGAATTTCCTCCCCGGGGCGCGAGGAAACTGCGCGCGAAAGACGGATGTGATGAAGGCCTTTGTGGCTCCTATGACAGTCAAGGTTACACAAAAGTCAAGGTCGGGGATCGGCGAGGCTGTTGTGTGTATCTGTGCCGGAGATGCCTGTGCTGAGGGCGAAGAGTCCGCGGGTGGAGGGCGGGCGGTGCTACCCCAAGGTGTGCTGGTCCGCCGTCACCCGCGCCACCCACTGGGGGCTCAGCACGCGCTCGTCCGCCCCCGAGACGCACTCCGCCAAGTCTGCGAGGAGTGCGAAACCGTCGCAAATCTTCAACGGCTTCCCAGTCGATTCGGATCAGGGCGGCGTCACGAGCGGGCGGGGCGGTGATTCAGAGGCGAACGGCTGCAGAAGGGAGATGGGAACACCCAGGGCCCCCGCGGCCCCCGCCCGCCACCAGGGGGGAGTGCATGCCGCTCAGCCCCTCCCCGCGAGCACGCTCCCCCGGGGGGCGCAGCAACACCGCCAGGCTCGCCACCAGCCCAGTACCCCTAGAAGTGCCACGCCGTCTCGGTCGCTTGCCTCTCCCTCCGCAGGCAAGAACTTGAGCAATGGCGGTGCTTTCCGGACGCCTGGGACCAGACTCCGCTTCTTCTCCAGGAGTGTAGCGGCGCCTCCCCCGCCTGCTTGTGACGATTTTCACTGTGACGTCGACGACCTGTGTGACGCCAGCAGTGCGAGCGACTGCAGCAGCGCCAGCGATGCACACAGCTCCAGCGGTGGTCACAGCGCGCGTGACTCGTGCAGTGGAAGCGACGACGACGGTGCTTGCTCTGGCACGTGCTGCATACCGGCGGGTGACGCGCCGTGCTGTCTGCTACCCTGTGCCCACGCCTCTGCGGGTGCCAAGATAATTAAGAGTGCCATCAGTGTGCCCTCGACGAGGCACTGTGGTTATGGTGTCTGTTGGAACGAGAATGACGCCAGCATAGCCAAGATGCCTCTGAGAGGTCGGGGCGACGAGGACGTGACGACAGCGGCGTGTATGGGTGCTCTCAGCAGCCGATTCAACGGCCTCGGCGCTCGAGATGGCGGTGCCGGCCGGGCGGCGACGCCGAACGGCCATTGTGACGCTCAGGTGCTTGACAGGTGCGACGGGGAGGCTCTGTCGCCCCGTCACCCCCGTGCTGAGAGTGAACCGAGTGTGAGTAGAGGCAAGGACGCGTGTGACAGGAACACGGCCCAGCGCGGCATTGTGTGTCGTATTGGCCGTCAGCAGGACAGCGGTGCGACGCCGATGGTGCGACAAGACACTTTCACAATAGAGAGAGGGCAAGGCGGGATCGGCCCTCGAGGGGAAGGGGGCCTCTCCTTGCCCATGCTGTCGAGGCCGCTCTGCCCCTCCCCGACGCCCACGCCCTCCCTCGCCACCCTTAGGCCTAGGGCTGGCCAGAGTGGCACTTCCAACGGCTCCAAACTTAGGCCTCCTGTCACTCATTTCCGTGAGGCCGCCCGCCTCAGCCCTGCCAGGTCGAACGGCGCTGCCTCGGCCCCGTACTCCCGGGGGGCACTGTCGCAGCCCAGGGCGGCCTCGAGGGGCGGGCGTAGCAGGAGCGCCAGCGAGAACGGGGACTTGGGAGCAGAGGAAAGGCTCGGCGGGGGCGCTAACACTCCGCCGTGGGAGCCTCACCATGTCGCCAAGGTGCGCACGGGAGAAGGCAAATAGGAATTGAGTATCTGACTAACAAGAGTTTTAATTCAGACTGGCCGACGGGATTCTTCAAATAAAACAATGGTTTCTAACTTCACGTAACAGTCGATTCGATTTAGCATGCCTATGCGTCGCTTGTGGACCTTTACCGTATTTTCTAACACGCTTACTTCCTTTGTCCTTTCTCGTCTTTCGAGTTACTTTCTTGCACAGCGACAAGGACTTTTTTTCTTCTAAAATCCTAATCCGAAATAACGACTAGGTTAACTTCACTGAAGGACGAGGACATCATGATAAGCGTTTGTCAAGCTTCACTGCCAACCTTGCATAATTGCTGCTTTTCAAACGGGTGCATCGTAGTTGTCCATACACATATACATACATACATACATACATACATACATACATACATACATACATACATACATACATACATACATACATACATACATACATACATACATACATACATACATACATACATACATACATACATACATACATACATACATACATACATACATACATACATACATACATACATACATACATACATACATACATACATACATACATACATACATACATACATACATACATACATACATACATACATACATACATACATACATACATACATACATACATACATACATACATACATACATACATACATACATACATACATACATACATACATACATACATACATACATACATACATACATACATACATACATACATACATACATACATACATACATACATACATACATACATACATACATACATACATACATACATACATACATACATACATACATACATACATACATACATACATACATACATACATACATACATACATACATACATACATACATACATACATACATACATACATACATACATACATACATACATACATACATACATACATACATACATACATACATACATACATACATACATACATACATACATACATACATACATACATACATACATACATACATACATACATACATACATACATACATACATACATACATACATACATACATACATACATACATACATACATACATACATACATACATACATACATACATACATACATACATACATACATACATACATACATACATACATACATACATACATACATACATACATACATACATACATACATACATACATACATACATACATACATACATACATACATACATACATACATACATACATACATACATACATACATACATACATACATACATACATACATACATACATACATACATACATACATACATACATACATACATACATACATACATACATACATACATACATACATACATACATACATACATACATACATACATACATACATACATACATACATACATACATACATACATACATACATACATACATACATACATACATACATACATACATACATACATACATACATACATACATACATACATACATACATACATACATACATACATACATACATACATACATACATACATACATACATACATACATACATACATACATACATACATACATACATACATACATACATACATACATACATACATACATACATACATACATACATACATACATACATACATACATACATACATACATACATACATACATACATACATACATACATACATACATACATACATACATACATACATACATACATACATACATACATACATACATACATACATACATACATACATACATACATACATACATACATACATACATACATACATACATACATACATACATACATACATACATACATACATACATACATACATACATACATACATACATACATACATACATACATACATACATACATACATACATACATACATACATACATACATACATACATACATACATACATACATACATACATACATACATACATACATACATACATACATACATACATACATACATACATACATACATACATACATACATACATACATACATACATACATACATACATACATACATACATACATACATACATACATACATACATACATACATACATACATACATACATACATACATACATACATACATACATACATACATACATACATACATACATACATACATACATACATACATACATACATACATACATACATACATACATACATACATACATACATACATACATACATACATACATACATACATACATACATACATACATACATACATACATACATACATACATACATACATACATACATACATACATACATACATACATACATACATACATACATACATACATACATACATACATACATACATACATACATACATACATACATACATACATACATACATACATACATACATACATACATACATACATACATACATACATACATACATACATACATACATACATACATACATACATACATACATACATACATACATACATACATATATATATACACAAATACATACACAAATACATACACATATACATACACATATACATATACATACATACATTCATACATACATACATACATACATACATACATACATACATACATACATACATGGCACGGCGTATATGTGTGTGTGTGTCCGTCCGCCCGTCCGTCCGTCCGTCTGTATATAGTATGTATATAGATACCTGTACGTCTACATATAACTGCACAAACCTCTTTCTTTCTATCCTTCTGTATGATCGTATAGGTAAAACTACACAGAAATAGACATTCAAAGATGAATAGGTAAAAGTTTTTGTTTATACATTTACGTTCGCATTATTTGCGTGCTGACTGTGTACGTATGTGTGTCTGTTGTGTATGTGTGCAAGATGTGTATGTGTGTATGAGACGAAGTAATATACTGAAAACGCCCTTAAGATAACTCTTTGGCCGTGGGTGGTGGTTGGTGATTTTCCTATTAACAATCCTTCTTCTAATTTATACAAGACGTCTTGCCTTTAAATAACAGTTCTCAGACGTTTCCTCCGTTGTAGATCGTATACGCTTGACTAACATGTGACAATTCATTGACTGAGACTAACGAGCGTGGCAGTCAGGAAAGCATGAATGAGGTGAAAATAGAGGGTATCCAATATCTACAGGATTGCGAGTGTGGGTGCAGGCGACCTGTGGGCGTGACAATGGCATACTGAATGTGCATTAAAGCCTGGAGGTGATATTGGCTGACGTCGCCTGACATTGTTTGTGTTGGCAGCTGACGCGGTGGTGACAAGAAGCCAGCACAGGCCGTGGGGCTATCTGTCATCTCGGGTCGGCCTGTAAAGTCATTTATTTTCTTTTTTTTTTAAGCATCTCCTATTGGGCATTCGGGTATTTATTTGGTACCCGGGCATTTATTTGGTATTCTTTAGTTTATGTTTAGGTTAGAAATTGAGTTGGGAATTCGGAATGTACGTATTTTTATTAAATTGACAACTCTCACTGCGTTTCCAGGATAGAAATAAAATTTAAATGCATTATGATTTTGGCCGTTTATTTATGCGAAGGTTTTAGACAATGGAATGATAAAAGCTAAACGCAGGAGCTGTTATTTTTGTAGATTAGATTATAGTGCGATTAATTATCGGAGCAGCGTGATTCATCTCCTACAGCCTCGATACATGTTTCGGGGAATTTGATTTCATATTTTTTTAGCTATTCTTTATTCATTTATCTTTATATGTATTGTATATCTTTCATCATTTTACATTGTATTGATAACTTCCGAAGAGAGATCTTCGTATAAACCTAACAATAGATTCCCTTTGAATTAATCGAATTTCGTCATTCATTTGAAATTAATTTTCGAGGCGTTGGAAGCCATGGGAGATAAGCCACAACGATAGCGTCACGAACAGTACCTCGATAATAGAACAATAGCCGATGGTTTGCTTGCAGTGTATGTGTGTGTGAGAATTCGTAGTGTTCTCGGTGGTGGCAGCCTGTGTGCGTGTGCGTGTGTGTACATCTCCGGGGCTTCCTTCTAAACCTTCTTTATTAGTGTGCTCCCCCTTTGCGTGCGTGCGTGCGTGCTTGTGCTTCTGCTGTACTCCAGGTTGTTCATTTATTTACGGCTCTTTTGATTCGGGTTCGTTTCCCCGTGTGTTTTTTTGGAATTCCGGCTGGTCGTGGTCCTCCCCTTTAGCGACTGATGAATGGTAGGGTGCTTTTTTGGGGGGGAGGGGGGGGGGTGCAGTGAGGTAGCTTCTCCCTAATAGTTTCTGCGAGGGTTTTAAAACATTGCGTTAGCGTTGTTGCGTTCGTTCATTTTTTGTGTTGTTTATTTAGTTTGAAAGCTTCTTTTCATTTTCATGGTCTGTTATTCTTTATTTTATTTATTTTTTCCATTTAATAACATCACGGCACTGGTTATTTGTACTGGCATTTGTCTGTGCCTCCGCCCTTCTCCCGAGTACTGTTTTAGATGAAGAAACTATTCATCTCTCTTCTCCCCTTCCCTCCTTCTCTCCTCCCCTCACCCTCTCCGCTCTCATCTCATTAATCCCTCCCGCCTCCGCCTGCCAGAGCGTCACACACATCCCCTGCCTCCCCTACACATCCCCTGCCTCCCCTACACAAGCAGCTTCTTATTAACGCCAAGTGGAGGCCGGAGTTGACTTAAGCTCCTCCGAATGTGTAACGTTGATGTTGACACTAAGGGAGAAAGGCGCGGTGAGGGGTGCCCCTTTGGCGACGGCGGGTGGGTCTTGAGGAGAGGTGGTGGTGGTGGGGGGAGGGTTAGGGGAGGGGGGTTTGGAAGGTAAGAGGGAGGGATGGGTTGGGGGTTATATATGGAATGAGTTTATGTTTGAGAAGGAAGGTGGGAGTGGGAAGGGAGGGGGAGGGAAGGAAGGGAAGGGAAAGAAAACAATGAGAATTCCCAATGCGACAGCGCCGTAATGATGATGCCTTGGGGAAAGTTGCCAAGACGGAGTGGTGAAAAAGATTGGAGGTTTTGGTGTGTGCAGTTCTGAAAGCCGTCGGAGTTTCTGTTTGTGAAGTGAGATGGAGAATGGGAAGAGAAGGGAAAGAAGGCAGGGAAGAGTTACCGTTTCCGACAGCTCCTTATGATGACTCGGAGAAAGGTGTACGGGAGGGGGAGGGGGAGGGGGAGAGGGAGAGGGAGAGGGAGAGGGAGAGGGAGGAGGGAAGAGAGGAGAGGTATAGACAGTTTTGAGAGCCCTTGGATTTTCTATTTGACGAGAAGGATGGAAAGTTGAAAGGGTAGAAAGATAAAGAACATAGGAGTCGATTCTTTTTTTTTCGACCGATGTAAGATTCCTTGGAAGACAGACGGCGGGGTCTGTTGGGGGTTGGGGGGGGGGTAAAAGGAATGTAGGGAAAGGAGGAATTGTCTAAGCAGTGTTGTTAAGAGCCTTCATATTTTTTTTTATTCCATATGGGAGATGAAGGATAGAGAAGCGCGGGAAATTCCGAGGACCGTGTTTTAGAGCGCCATGGAGAGAAGCCTCGGCATTATCCGTGTTTTATTAACGGCGTCCGTTGGGTTTCGCCAGGTATCACGTTCGGGCTTAGGCAGATCAGTAGGAGTCGAGTGCGGTGTGAACGACTAGGTTTCGTGACAGTATCCATGTTGTGGTTCTGACGGCTGACTCCATCTTGCAGGGTCCACGTGGGAGTGGCAACACTAAGCGCGGTGCCCCGTACTCCCGCAGCAGCGTCAGCAGTGATGAACACGATCACCAGGCGGCCGCAGGACAGCAGAAGGAGGACCCGCCCCCCCACCAGCCCACACACCGAGGCCGCCGTGCCATGAAGATCACGTTGCGCGAGGAGGCCACGAAAAAGAACACCAACCTCACTACTCCGGCGTCTAGGTAAGGCCGGGGTCGTTTTCTTTCAAGGGCCCGAGCTTGGGTCACGTTTTCTCGGGCAGGTGAGCCGTGACATTTCGTTTCGTTGCCCGCGGGTTGCCTGGTCTGGGCTTGGGGGTGAGTGGGGTTGGGGGTTGGGATGGGGGGAGACCACGAGAAAGGTGATTTCTGCGTTCATATTTTGTTGGGAAATTGGTTTTCGTTTCCCTTACATTGGAGTCTCATAATTCTTTAATTGAATTCACTTTTCTTGATATAGGAA